GCCCATGTGTAATGCCTGTCTCGCAATCTTTACATGCATTACACTAATGTAGGCAGAGATCAATGACTCATTCACTGTTTGCCTTAATAAAAGTTGCAGCATTACTAATTGAATGTTTTAGCTGGAGGGAGAGAACAAATATGATTCAGAGGTCTGTTATCCTCCTTTACCTTAAGGCATAAGTTAAGTCTATGGCATAGCAAACCCATCCAACAGCCTAGTGAGGTACATTAGAATCATAGAATAATTTCAGTCAGAAATGACCTTTAAAATCATTGAGTCCAACCATAAACCTAACACTGACAAGTCTGCCACTAAACCACATTCCTAAGCACCACATCTACACATCTTTTAAATACTTCCAGTGATGGTGACTCCACCATTTTCCTTGGCAGCCTGTTCTAGTGCTTGATAACCCCTTCAATGAAGAAATTTCTCTTAGTATCCAACCTAAACTTCCTCTGGCACAATTTGAGGCCACTTCCCCATGCCCTATTACTTGTTACTTGAAAGAAGAGAGACTGACACCCACCTTGCTACAACCTCCTTTCAGGTGCTTGCAGAGAGTGGTAAGGTCTCCCTTCAGCCTCCTTTTCTCCAAGCTAAACAACCACAGTTCTCACCAACTGTAACTGCTAATACGGCTTGCATTCTAGTGTTTCATTCTGTTGTCTATATGCCACTGAACGTCTGAAGCAATCTAACAAAAATCCGATTACCTACAGCAGCAGAAAATCTACATTTTGAGTCATTTCATTATCATGGTAGAAGCCTTTGTTTTCAGTCCAAACAGTCTGAACAGGTGTCCAAACAGGAAAACTTAGAAATACAAACACACATGATAGAACTGCATTAATCAGTCATGACACTCAACACTGAAACTCCACTTTTCCATGGTCCCAGTATTAATTTGGGACCTGGAAGCCTAGGAATAAGAGTATGGCACTTTGTTTCATTTGGGGGGAACTGACATTGTGGGTTGGGGACAGGGTCCTAAGTGTCATAAGTTTGCAGGGCGTGGGAGTGCACTCCTCATTCATAAAGGACCCAATTTCTTTCTGACCAAAAGCTGCAGGTAGACATCTAGGACAATGTCTATCTACTAAGCTGCAGGAAAACACCCAGTCTACCTTCATAGCCAGTAGCAGATTACTCCTTCTCCAGCCTGGAGATGGAAAGAATGAGACAATGGTGGGATCCCAGGCACAAGCTACAGCCCAGCTGAGGAACACCTTAGGGCTCCTGCCAACCCTCCAAAAGTGGCAGCAGTGGAAGAAATCATGACCTGATGTTGCACTGTATAGCTACTGACTAAGGTTCCCAGGTGGAGGCAAGTTCATGGAGTTGCTCAGGGGTTAAAGAGCATCCCTCATGCTTCCCCTCCCTTACTGCGTGACCACACAAAATGAGTTTTATCTTCCTCTACGCACAAAATATGCCTCACCATGGTTATTATAGTATGAGTCACTGTGTATTAAAGTGGCAGCCTTTATGACAGTCCTTTATAACAGGGACCCATTGAGATGGGCTGATTAGTGTATTAAAAATATAAGGTTAAATTCTAAGCATTTCTCTAGTTTTATAGCCAGAGAGCTCATTGTTGGTATCACTCTTTTCCAGGTCCCAAAACCAGCTTTGGAAGAGAGGTTAACAGGGGTTATATCAGCATAAAATAGCATACCACAGTAACTTAGTTGTAACAGTAATAGCATAATAACATCATAGTGAGAACATTAAAACCACAACTCCAGGTTTGCAGGCAAAATTCATGACATGTAAAAAATTTCTAAGAATTTAGCACCTTTGCCCATGAAATAGATAACACAAATGTTAGTACCAGAAGACTAAATACAACCCACAGTTACCACACAAACTCAAAACAGGAAATCATATATTAGTTATTCCACACACTATCTACAGCTGGCCTCTGGAAAGCAAGCAATCACCCTCTGCTAAAAATACAGTTCCTTGAGAAACATCCTTACATATATTTATATTTCCTGAGTCATGTTATTTAAGAGTGGAGAAGAGAATGTGTACAGACATATCACTCTGTGTTTTGCAACACTTTTGACAATAAACACAACCACATATATTCATAGTTCAAGTCTGGGTTTTGGGGATGGAAAAGAGTTCAGATGGATATTGACTACTGCCAATAATTCTTTTGTGATCTAGTATACCTGCATTTTACCAGAATATATTGCTCATGTCTCATCCTAGGTTTATTTCTGAGTCTCTTGTTTTCAAAGTATATTATCCTCAGTCAGAAATTTAGCACAATTTAGCAGTGGCCCATTCTCAGAGATCACAAGAGACTACACTGCAATGATATCCCACATGTAAATAGAAGAGAATAAATCTCCAAGTTACACAGTGCACATGGAAATGAACCCTTGCTTTCAAATAAAGAGCCAAAGGCATCCTAGAATGATAAACATTTCCAGTCTGACCCCAGATACGATGACATCTGGAGAAAAACTCTTTCTGGACTCTGTTGCACAGTTATTAGCAAACTACACCCCTAGCCAAGTGGTAACTTTGATGAGTGGTTTCTAAGTGCACTGGCCAACTTTGGTGCAAATGCATGGAAGATCTTTTGAACTGTGCCCGAGTTAAGGGGTTTATTAAATGCTACAGCCAGGGCAAAAATCTCCAGAACTGGCTAAGACTACAGAGACTAGGTGTCACACCCAGAAGCCTGAAGGGAAGTCCCTGTCCTGGTTCAAATTCCCCATGGGTGCTGTGACAAGCCAGGGAGGGGCCAACACAACACATGCTGGATTACACACTGCCTGTCCACCTCCCTCCTTGCCCTCCTGCAGGCACTGCAGCATCCTTCCTTGGACCTTCCAGCTGCACTCTTGTCCTGCTTTCTTCAAGACGGTGGTTGATTCCAAGGAGCAAAGACACATCCTGGCCCAGCTTGGGATGCTTCAGCTCTTTGCAGTTCCTCTGAGCTTTATTACTGATTAGGGAAGCAATGCTCTCTTTTTTTTTTTTCTCCCCAGCATCCCATGCTGTCTCCTCACTAAACCATTTCACCATGCTTCCCATTTACTACTAGGGCTTGGTTTTATTCTTTTAAATAATTCACACTACTACAGCATCAGAGCACTGCTCTTTGAGGGCAAGAATTTCTACCTGGAATAATGGGAAAAGAGTTTGCCAGACCACAGGTCTCTTCTCAGACTGCCTCTATCAGCCTAACTTTCTGGCCACTCATCCAGTCAAAGGCAGCAAAATCAAAGAGCTAAAAAAACAACAAGATAACTGTGTCTCTGAAGACACCTGTTGCCTGCAATATTCTTAGGAATCAGCTTTGCCTCTCACAATTGCTTTGTAAAATCAAAGTAGAAAAGCTGGCACATGCTCTCTGACTCACCACTAATATTATTAAGTGAACTACAGTTTCAGCATATTTCAATCACAATAATTTTAAATTCTACATTTTTATAATCATTATCGTGTTTCTGATTTTTAGATCTGCTCCACACAAATCTTATCTCATTTGGGTCTAGCAAGTTCCCATAACATACTAAACATTTTAAACATTTTCCCCTCATTTTCCTCCATCTTACAGAGACGCCTTACACTATAAGGACATCTTTCATTCGTTTTGTATATCTATCTAAATACAGTATACAGTATTCAGAACAAAAAATTCAAGCATTTGTAGCCAAAAAAAGAGAAAATGCTAAGTTTGCTTCAAACCTATTTTAAGCCTGTGCCAGAAGAGGGTCTCTTATGCATTAAAAGGGTGCCAATCATTGAAGCATCTAGGTTCAAAGTACTGCATAATCCAGACTGGAAAGATTCAGTATCTGTTGATGCCTTCAGGCACTGAACTTTGATAATTTAAGAATCTTGAAATAAAGAAAACTAATTCACTATCTGGATTTTAATAGCTTTTGGTGACAGACTTCTACATTGTGACCTAACAATCATGATGAGTGATTAAGTCAGGCAAGTAAAAATTCACTTCCTAACTTCTGTCTGTAAATGGCACTTTATTTACAGTCAAATAAACAGACTGCATGGAACAAAGGAAGACAGATACAAGCCTAAAGCTTCAGAAGGCCCCTCTGAAGACTTCTAAAGCAGCAGTTTCTCTCCACTGACTGGGCAGGGGGCTTGGGAGTTTTGTTTTAAAGATGACAGCTTCATCGACCAAACTAGCTTGCAACATAAAGCAAGTTTATCACATTTAAAAAAAAAAAAAAACAACAACAACAAAACACACTTTAATGGGATAAAAGGAACTGTAAGCTTTCCAACACCCTCTTACTTGTTATTTTCGGGAGGGAATTCCCATATTTCAGCAACTGTATTATTGCAGTGTATTCCACAGAATCTGCAGTGTAGGAGTACAACTGCTTTTATACTGCTGCACCACCACCATTTTCTTGCTTCTAGGAGGGGAAAAAAAAAAAAAAAAATACATGTTCTGACTGTGCACCTCTAAGTCTGAACGTGTGGGAATTTTTCTGCAACTATAAATGACATGTCTAATGATGACTATAATGCCTTCTGTCTACTGCCATTGAAGTACATGTTGAAGCAAGTTATTGAAGTAATAGCTCATATTAGGTAAACCCAGTTCATAATTGTTTTGAGTTTGTAAGTAAAGCACGCAGCTTAAAGCAAGCAAGCAGAAAATGTCCGTTGAGTAATAAATTATTTAATGGCATGATTGTAACAGTTATCTGATTGTAACCCCATATTCAGAGTAATCAGTATAAAAAAAATTAATTGGATGAGAAAAAATAAATCAGATTTT